CCTTGGAGCCCCTGGCGGGTGTTTTAAGGCAATGAAGCCCGGCGCCCAGCCGGTCAGCGCCGGAGCGCAGCGTCCGCGTCACCTCGGGGCTCGTTGGAAATGCAAAATCTGGGGCGCGTCGCACACCCGCTGGATCAGAATCGCTAGGGTGGCGCCCGGGAATCTGTATTTCAACCAGCTCCTCGAGGTGATTCTTGAGCTCCCTAGTTTGGGAAGCGCTGCTCCAGACCGACTGAATCTGAACCTGAGATGGGACGCTGGCTGCAGTGTTTTTCTAAAGAATTGTGAGGGTGGAGAGCCACCGCGCTGAGAGCTCATGTGGGGCCCACGGGTCACTGGGAAAGGACCGGCGCCCTGGGGATGAGGAGGGTCCTCCTCCGCCACCTCCGCCACCACCAAGGCCCAGGGCACTGCCAGCGGGAGCCTGGGCTGGTGCCCGCCACCCCTCTAACTGCCCGCTCCCTGCGGCCCCTGCGGCCCCTCCAAGATTTCACCACATTCTGACTGTCCCAATCTTTTTTAAAATAAAAAAAAATAAAAAAAGGAAATTTGGGAAAACTCTACAGAACAGGTAGGTAACCCAGTTCCTTCAACAAACAAATTTCAAGGAAAAAATAGAGGGAGGAAGAGCCTAGAGACTGAGACTCAGAAGTCTATCAACCAACTGCCACGTGGGAACCTAATTTGGCTCCTGATTCAAGCAAACAAACAAAAATAAACATCTCTGCCATCTGTGAGACAACAGGGAAAACTTGAACAGTGGCTGGATATTTGATGATGGTAAGGAATTTTTATTATTTTTAGATGTGATCATTTATAGTGGGGTTTTTTAAAGCCCTTATCTGGTAAAGATACACAGAAACCTTTAAGGAAGGCGTAATAGGCTGTCTGGGCTTTGCTTCAATAACACAGAGGAGAGGGAACGGGGAGGCGCCTGCGCTTTTCCTTCAGAATGCTTATTCCAGGGGTGAGCGCAGGTGAATGTGGTTAGAACTTTCTCCCCACCGGGTATCAGCTCTTTGAGGACATGCCTCCCCCACGCCTCAGACAGTGACAGCCCCTGGTGCTCTCCCGCAGGTTAAGTACATCGGATCCCATGCCCACCTGGCCCTCCGCCCCAGGGTCTGGAGCCTGACCAAGGGAGGCCAGGGAAACAGAGAAGGCAGGGCAGGGCTGCCACCCCAGCCAGAGGTGGGCTTGCCACCTGCCCACCTCTCACCCAGGCACAAATGTGAAAGCCGCAAGAATGTTTACCTCCTAGATCATCATTCTCACAGCCTTTTCCTCCCTCACCCGTATCACACCCTCAGTCAACACCTCCCTGTGGGTCCTACCCTGTTCCAGCTTCCCAAGACCTAAGTCTCTCCCTGGCCCCAACTCGGCCCCACTCCCCCAGCCCCAGCCTGGTTCCAGGCCCAAGGAATGAGGGGACACGAGCTTGGATGAGAACCTTGGGGGTGAGGACCACAGCAGAGCCCCCACTGATGCTGAGGATGGGCACGTGAGTCTGGGAGGAGATGAAGTCGAGGATCTGGGCCACGGCCTCTGTGCCCACGTTGTCCTCAAAGACGATGCCGTGGACCCGGGCCGCACCCAGGAGCCCACAGATCTGGGTGAGGAGGCTGCTGGGGTTGGTGTTGTTGACCCCCACGGTGAGTGGCTGGATCTCCAAGGGCAGGTCCAGGAAGCTCTGGGGGGTGAGGCGGGTCCGGGCCTGGGCCTGTGGTGGCCCCGAGCTGCCAAACACCACGGCCACCGTCACAGCCTGTTCGCCCTGCCCGAGGCCCAGCCCTGCCCAGGCACCAAGGAGTGAGGTGAGCAGCAGGGCTGGCCCCAGAGCCCCACCCATGTCCACTGGAGGGTCCTGCAGAGAGATCAGGAGAGGCACAGGGAGGGAGACAGGCATGGAGAAAAAAAGATGAACAGACAGACAGGAGGTGAAGGCCGGAGGCAAAGGGACACATCCAGAGGATGGAAGAAGGGAAAACCTCCCTCCACAAAAAGAGGCGGAGAGAGGGAGACAGACAGACACAGACAGACAAGGAGAAAGAGACGGAGAGATTAGCTGAGCATCCCAAGGGCAGCCCAGAAGGGCAGGGGCTGGGAAGAACATGAGCCACGATGCATACTCATTACTTCCTTTCAGCTGCTGAACAGCACAGTTGGCTAGAAAGGCCAGACCTTGGGAACTTGTCCATCTGGGTGCCACCCGAGGAAGGTACACTGAAAACGCTAGTCTGGTGTCCAAGTGCATGGGTTTGAGTCGAACAGACCCAGGTTCACGTCCCAGTTCTGCTGCTTACTAGCTGGGTGATCTTGGGGAAGTTGCTCACCCTCTCTGAGCCACATTTTATTGCCTCCAATAATCACAGAACCTACTTCACAGCAGCGTGAGGGCTACCCACTGTTATCAGGTGACAGCCCCTCAGCCAAGTGAAGAGAGGCAGCCCTTGTGACACTTCCCCGCACCCCCATTCTCCACTATAAACTGAATCTAACATACCCACGGGCCCTGCTCTTTGTGGCCCTGCCTGGCACGGAGCTCCCTCCTCCTGGGCACTGGACATCCTTCCCCTTCCCCCGTGGCCTCAATTAGCAGCAGCTCTTCCACAGCAGGAGTGTGACCCCACGGACCTGTGCGGGGCTCGGGGTCAGTATCTTACACGAGCCGCTTCCCCAGACCATCGCTGCTGCGCGGGACTCTTTAACCTAACCCCAGGGCCTGCCGCGTCTCCCCGCTAAGTGAACGTCATTGCTTTGGTGAGTGGCGCCCACTGACATAGCTCTGCCTCCTAGCTGGCCGTCAGCCACAGCTTTGCGGCCTCTTCACCTTCATCACATCCCCAACAGAACCTGTGAACAGGGCGGAGAGCCAAAGGGTGACCAGGGTGGCCCTGGTTTCATCTCAGTCAGAGAAGTCAGGGTCGGGGCTCGGAGGGGATACTCTACTCATTTTAGTGCCCTCGAGATCTCCCCTGTGTACGGTTGTCAGCCTGGGGCATGGTGGCCCTGGAATGGGGACCTAAGCGTGCCATGCCACACCACACTCAGCCACCACCAACAGCAGTTTACGCCCGCAAAGGACACTCACTGCCGGGCTTACCTCTGCCCAGGCCTCCAGGCCCTGCAGGCTGCCTGCCCCCTGGGGAGCCCCAGCCTCCCGCACCCCTGCCTCGGGGCTCTGCGCTCAGATCTGTCCTGCCCAGTACAGCAGCCACCGCCCCTGGGACGACGGGCCCTGGAAATGCGGCTCGTCCGCGCGGAGCTGTGCTGCAAGTGAAATCACACCCGGCACTGGAGACTAGTAAGGAAAAAGGAAAGTAAAACACCTCGCTAATCTTTTTATGTTGATTACATGTTGAAAAAAAGTTAGATCCATTGAGTTAAACAAAATATACTATTAAAATTAAGTTGGCCTATTTCTTTTTACTTTTTATAAGGCGGCTACTAGAAAAGTTTAAATTATACATGCAGCTCCTGTTTTCTTTCTTTTGGAGAGCATGACCCGGGCTCTCCCTGAGCTCCAAGGCAGGCAGGTGCCCCCTGGGTGATGCCCCAAGCCCGCAGGGGACTGCTGCCCACCCGCTTGTGGCCCATGACTTTCAGGAACGCACTGAGCTAATGTTCCACAACCATATGGACCCACAAATGGCCCAGGGGAGGGAGACAGTGGTCAGTCCTCCGGGACACTCAGCATCACCTTGACCGGCCGGGGCACCTCCGTGTGTTTCCCCCGCCTTCACCCCAGCTCCCCCAATCTCAGGCAGGCTCCCCAACACGGGACCAGATACTGAGGGCTCCCCCCTCCGCCAGGTCAGGAGCCCACCAGATGCGCTGCTTCCCGAAGCGGAGGGACCGCAACTGCTGGCGGATCCACTGCCCTTCCCCTGAGCCGCCCCCGCTTTGCCGTCGGGTTTCCCTCCCCCCCTTTTGCCGAGCCGACGCCCGAAGGCCGGCGTCGGGGTAAAAGACAGTCCCTCCGTCTCGCCACCCCTGGATGGGGCGCCGAGGTCTTCCTCCTCCGAGACCCGCTCCCCGCTTCCCAGCGGCCTCCGCACGGCCCCCGGGGGCGCCCCACCCCCTCCCTCGGGCAGGAATCTCTTACACTCGGGCTGTGAAGTTCGGGGTATTTTTAGGCCGGTGATAAATAATTCACAGGGAACGTGGCATCAGGCTCCCCCCGCGGGAGGAGGGGGCTTCGGCGGCCAGAGCCGCCGCCACTCGCGCTCAAGGACACTCGCAATGCAGCGGCGCTGACTCCCCGCGCGAAGATCCGCGCCACGCCTCCTGGCGGCCAAACTGGGCACCGCGCGCTCCGTGCCCCCCACCTAGCTGCTGCCCCCCGCGGGCGTCCCGCGTTCCTAGGCCCCCACTCCCACTCCCCCAAGCNCCCCCAAGCCGAGTCGTGGCGGGAGCCCCACCAGTGGGGTAGGGGATGGAGCTCGCCTGGCCGGCGGGGCTGCCCTAGCACCTGGAGTGCGCCCCTGGGTCCAGCCTCCAGCCTGCCCGTCTCCCTTCCCTGCAAGTTCCTATTCAAATTCCTTGCACGGACTTTAGAAACAGACTCGAAGCCGACCGGCGCAGCCGGAAACTGGACGGGCTCCGAGACAGAACAGGCCAACCCACAATAAGTTCCTTCCCTCAGTTTCCCTGTGGCCCCACCTTGGAGACACAGCCAAGGTGGTGCCTCCATCAGAGGGCTGGGGGACCGAGCCTGAGGTCCCATCGCGCCAGCAGGTCTCCGAACCGGGTGGACCACCGCCGTGAGTACAGGGCCCGGCGGGAGTTCCGCTTTGCTCACCTAGCAGGACCTTTGGATGGGG